AAAATATAAGTTATGAAGTAAAGTTCTTATTGCCTATTTATTTCTCTGCATAAGTCGAGTGGATATAGGATGGTATAAGAATTCTTAAGCTATAAAAAAGTAGTCCAAAACATTCAGCAGGAGCAATGGACTATATCAAAAAAAAAGTTGATGAAATTTTTAGCAATGATAGTAAATTTAAACACCAAGAAAACCTTAAGATAAGTCTGAAGCTTTAAAATTCAGAAATCAAAGGCCAAATACAAGTTGATGAGGCGACGAAACGTACATCACCATCCATCTCCTAAACCACAAGCTGTCATTTCCTCTTGAAGAAGACCCAAGGATCAAGATCTGCTTGCATATTTCATAGAAAACCCTGAATAAAAATCATAATGAAGGTGAAGCAAAACATATGGAATGAATTTGGAAAAATTCTAAAAATGCTGATATCGCAATTACTATAGGAATAGGATTCCAATTTTTGCTTTTAATGTCTGGCTTACAAAAAAAAAGTCACCCCCACATCACGTGGGTTTGATAGTGTTAAGAAAGCGCCAGCGGCAAGGAGAGACAAGCAGGAATCCAGTCGTCCGCAGGTGCATTTACTTCCCATCTGTCCGCTGACGGGCATGAGAGACAGGATAGAGGCAGTCCTCGGGGTTACATCTTCCACTGGGGCCCGGGGGGCCCTGGGGCCCTGGAGCACCTGGTGAGCCAGGCAAGCCCGGAGCTAATGAAATAAAAGACCCCATCAGAATGCAGGTCAACATATGGGCCTTCCTCCCTCACTCCATCCAACATGGGTCATTCAGCATCACCCGTAGCAATACATAAGGGCCACAGGGGAGAAAGCATGGCTCCTATTTTTGGAGCCAGCTCGTGTTGTGAAGACAACATCACTATTACCTGAAGTTCCAGGAAGACCCGGACTCCCTGGAAGCCCAATTCCAGGCTCCCCTCTTTCTCCCTTCTGTCCTCGGTAGCCTAAGTAAGAGATACATAAAAAGAGAGACAGAAAAGTAAGCGTGCTCTACCCCAACACAGCCCATGCAAGAACCATGATCTTAGTCTGCAATATTTTGGCAGGTCCTTCATTTAACATAATAGCATATTAGCTGTTTTGCATTAACCACATATTAACTAACATATCAAACAGATTTTGTGCAACAGGCAATACAGAGCTTGGAAATACACAATCACTATAAAATGTTCCAACTAGTCAAACTCTTGATAGTGAGACTTTGGGCACTGAAAACGATGCTTAAACACACCATTCAGGTATATCCCTTTCAAATAGCTAACGACGAGATGTGTGAGCCCTCCTCAACGGGAGCTCTGACTGGAGAGCAGAAACAAGCTAAATACAAGTAGCTGAAAGAGTTCTGCTTAATAGGGAGACAAGAAAATGTGACAGCAAGACTCTGCAGCCTAGTACAACAATTAAAGGGAATGAAAGGAGCAAAAACTCATGAGTTTAATAAGTGACACTAAAAGTCTAAATATATGCGAATCCGCCCAACTCAGGAATTAGGTCTTTGTTCAGATTACTGACTATAACTGTTGTTACGGCCCCTTCCAGTGCTTAATGTCCTTTCCAAGGAGAATTAAAACAGCAACCCCTTGTTTTAACATGATCCCGACAGACGAGTAGCTCCGATAATGATGGAAAGCAAGAGGAGATTGAAGGCTTCATCTAAATCCACTTCATCAACTTAAGCTGGTTTAACCAAAATGAATTGGATCTAAGACATGTATACATTTTAAAATGAAATCATTCTTCTCCTTGAATATGCTTATTGTCACCTGAACTAAAATAGCACTGAGTGATTTTTGCCTCTGGAGGCCCTTATCGCTGTTTTTAAAAAAGCATAAAACACCTTTTTCCTCTGTATTTTATATAATGGCTTCGATGTAAGACTTTATTGAAGAAAATGTTCTTGGTTATGAGAGTCTCAGTGATGATAAATGGGGTTTTAACTCTTAACTCTTTCATACTTCAATAGCAGCTTAAAAACTGCTCCTACTCCCAAATGCACAGAGCAGGCATGTAGAGTCATGCAGACACACAGCCAGGATAATCAGTGGGAGAGCATCCCAGTAGGGGCCAGCAGGCCGTGACTCAGTTGTGCCTTTCCATAAAGGTGTGTTATTATAGCACAATGTGACTGGAGGAGAAATGTTACTGTTCTCTGTGAATGCACGCAGGACAAATTATTTCTTATTATTGCTGGGAATTAGACATTTTGAGGGGTTACCGTTCTGTTTTGACCTGACCATATAGTATACACATTATTATTTAAATAATGTTAGCAATGTGATTACCATACCATTATTCTTTCAGCTTTGGAGGTGTGACCTGACCACAAATGTGAAAATAGTTGAAAAAAAAGTATGCGTTCAGGAAATATTTTGAGGTCCATATGGAAAATACACCCAGTGGAATATCTCCACCCATTTCTATCTGGAAGCTATGTTACAGATATTCAGTATGATCCTAATCCCAAAAAAAACAGTGGCTGAGCATGTGGCAATATCCTAAATCGATATATATTAACATTTAAAAGATTACCAGGATTTCTTTTATACAAGTGACTTTCATTTAACATACTTGAACAATAAGGAAAAAATGTCTGCACTCTGGGTCATGTGGAAGCATCCTTCCAAATCTCTATTATTTAAACATCTCTGCACTAAAATAACATTTACTACCTGAAGTATATTTAATAGTTCAACCCAGTTCACACTATTACAGAAACGTGGTTAAGTTGACCCTCAAGTCATCTCAGTGAGTGCTTAAGATCATAGGCTAAAAAATGAGGAGGAAATAAAAATTACTGAAGATATATGAATTTTGGATTAACAACACTGTGGCACAATTCCAAATGAAGGACAATTCTGCTGAAAGCTACATATTTAAATTCTGTTCTAGATTTTAATATCATGTAAAATATATTATTCATTCCATGTGGATTTCAGTGCATATGGTATCATAAAACAAGAAACAAAATTTGTGTATTTGTATAATAAGGCAACATTTACACTTCTCGTATCAAATGTAATAACTTATTTGTACAAATCTCTCAGCTTATTGGGTTAATAACGACCTACTATGATTAGAGAAAGATGTTCAACTGTACAAAGCACACAAGAGCTTTCTACTCTTATGTTTCCTAATAAGGTCCCAAGCTCATTCCTTATGAAGGCTACCAAAAAGCCACATGAGCTCACTTTATAATCGTTTCACAACAAAACTTCAGATAGGAATGCTAATAAGGTGAATAACAGCTTTCCCATTTTCTAGAGTTAAGATTTTCATCCCTTTAGGGTAGGTCACCCTTAAAATTTGGAAAGGACTAAGAGGCTAGTCTATCTGCAAACAGACATGTGTTTTCATGATGACAGTTGGATATCAGTGTAGCTTACTTTGGAAAACGGAAATAGAACAAGAGCAGTGTCCTAATCCAGAACATTGGAAGAAACATGGTGTTTGCTAGGGTTTTTCGGCTGCGAGGCTTTATTTCTGGTAGGGAGATTTTCCATTTCAACTACAGGGATTTACTTCTAAAGTTGCAAATCTGTGCATCTATATGCATACTGGAAAAATGAGGACAGAAAAGAGTGTTACTGGCATTTTGGGAGGGACAATTCTTCATGGAGGGGGGCCTTACTAGCTGTCTGCAAGGCTTATAAGTTGTTTGGCCTCCCTGATTCCAGACCGTTAACTGACCACACTGTCCTTTATCATTTTGACACCCATAATGTGTTCCATTTCTTAAGGTCCCTGCTGCTGACAAATTTGAAAAGTCAGATCTCGATCTCTATCAGTCACATGAACTACCCCACGGGCCACTGGATCACAAATAAGAGAAAGGTTTCCTTCATTATAAACCAAATAACAGCTCAACTTAGGAAGTTCAAAAGTAAGAATGATCGTTCCCAACACCGTCCCTCCGAAACTGAAGGACAAATGGCTGGCTCTGTTTTCTCCTGGTGACTCCGTATTCACTCAGTGTGCAGGGCTCTTTCTCAAATGCATGAGGCTTTCAGGTGCGCTATCTGTGCTTGAGGGTCTTCAGAGAGGCGGAAAATCAGCTATGTTTGGAGAAAGTTTAAATCAAGTTCTTGCAGGGCACCTGATCACCCAAACAACAACTACATATAAAACAACCATCAGTTAGGATGACCTGAAGACTAGCAGAAGAGAGCTTCTACAGCCGAGGGGGCAAGATGGGGAGGAGGGACGGAGAAGCAGTCCAGTCACAGCCCACAGCCCTGGCATGGTGACCCACAAGCAGGATGGATATCACAACTATGACAGCCCCCCCCCGAGGATTCGGGGGGCCAGGCCCCCTGTTGGGCTCTCCAGCCCAGGGAAACTGCATCAGGGAGATGAGCCCCCATAATGTCTGGCTTTGAAAACCAGCAGGGCTTATGTCCAGGAGAGCCTGCGGGCTGTACCAAGACTCCACTCTTAAGGGGCTCACACACAAACTCACTTGCTCCGAGTCCCAGCATAGAAGTAGCAGTTTGAAAAGCACCTGGGTCATATGAAAAAGAGATTCATTGACTAGTTTTAGGGCATGTGCCAGAAAGGCAGGGATCCAACAGAAGCTTCTCCAAGGATGGAAGTTCTGGCAAGTGCCATTTTTCTCTCTCTTTCCACTTCCTGGACCAGTGCTGGTGGGTGGGCGGCATTCTGTCACTCTCCATCTATGTAGCTAGCACTGTGCCCCACCCCACCATTGTTCTTAGGAACCACCCTGCCCAACCTGCCCAGCCCAGCCAGCCTCTCCAAAGTAGCTCTTGCCCTAACAGTGGGCAGCCCTGGATGACACTGGTGCCCTTCCAAAGTGGCGACCACTCTGGGGAGGCTGCTCTGCACACCAGTGTGTCTGTAATAGACATGGCTGGGTCTTGCAGCCAGCCAGCTGGGGGCCAATTCTGCCCACCAGCACCCCCACAGCAATCATGATCTATCCACAACAGAAGGGTGTTTGAGATCTACAATCTCCCAAGACTGAATCAGGAAGAAATAGACCATCTGAACAGACCAATCACTAGCAAAGAAATTGAATCAGAAATCAAAAAACTCCCAACAAGGTCCAGGGCTTCACAGGTGAATTCTACCAAACATTTAAGAAAGAGGTGATACCTATCCTTCTCAAACTATTCCAAAAAATTGAAGAAGAAGGAATACTTCCAAACTCATTCTATGAGACATTACCCTGATACCAAAACAAGACAAGGGCACCATAAGAAAACGAAATTACAAGCCAATATCCCTGATGAACATAGATGCAAAAAATTCTCAACAAAATATTAGCAAACTGAATCTAACAAACATTAAAAGGATGATACACCATGATCAAAGCCACAAATCAATCAATGTGATATATCACATTAACAAACTGGAGAATAAAAATTATATGGTCATTTCAATAGATGTGAAAAAAGCTTTTGACAAAATTCAACATCCATTTATAAGAAAAATGTTCCAGAAGGTGGGCATAGAGGGAACATATATCAGCATTATAAAGGCCATTATGATAAACCCACAGCTAACATACTCAACAGTGAAAAGCTAAATGCATTTCCTCTAAGCTCAGAAACAAGGATGTCAACTCTCTCCACTTTTAATCAATGCAGTATTGGAAGTCCTAGCCACAGCAGTCAGACAAGAAATAAAAATAAATCAAAGGAATTCAAATTGGAAAGGAAGAAGTAAAGCTGTCACTGTTTGCAGATGACATGATGCTATATATAGAAAAGTCTAGAGATGACACCACAAAATATTAGAATATGAAAACACTAATTCAAAATGTTCATTGCAGCATTATTTACAATAGCCAAATATGGAAGCAAACTAAATGTCCATGGATAGATGAATGGACAAAGAAGATGTGCTTAAATATATATACAATGGAATATTGCTCAGCCATAAAAAGAAAGAAATCTGGCCATTTGCAACCACATGGATGGACCTA